TTTTAATCGCGATTAAAAACCACTGTTCTGATTGGCTGGAATTCAATCGCGCTTAAAATACATTTTAAGCGCTATTAAAATAGGTAGGTTTTGGCGGTAATGGCCTTCCATACATAATGGCTACAGCCTACAGACGGTACAGTATTACACCACGTTTATTTAACGTATACGAGTTTATGATGTGTTTTTAGTCTGGTTGCTGTTATAAGAACTTGTGTGGTTGCCTGACGTTAATTTGTGCGTAGCAACCGTGCACATGAATGACTTCGAGAAGGGAGATTCTTGTACTCCTGATGTCACCGGGGTTTACGACCTCTGAGTTATAAATATTGTTATGAACTGCGTTGCTATGGGGATTTTCACCGGATGGACCCGAGGAGACTGCTCACGCGAGAAGTTTTATCATGTCGATTAGTTTTCGTGTGATCATACATTAAAACAACATTTCACCTTTAATTTTTTTCGACGATAATGGTGTCGATGACGATGGCGATGATGAAGTCGACAGCCTCCATATTGATGATGATGATGATGATGATGATGATGATGATGATGATAGAGATGATGATGATGATGATGATGATGATGATGATGATGATAATTATGAGGAGGAGGAGGAGGAGGAGGAGGAGGAGAAGAAGAAGAAGGATGAGGAGGATAATGATGATGATGATGACGTTGACGCCGACGACGACGGTTGCTGGATGCAAGTACTGTTTAATGCCGTTGGCTATATGATGTGTATGGGTTTACTCTATACTACTGACTCAATAATGTGCCCCTTTGGCTTTATATTCGCCCGTCATATATCATACTCGTTCGTTTCAGGCTAGATCGCAAGTGATAGCCACGTACGCCATCTGTGGCTTCTCCAACGTAGGTTCGATAGGCACGACGTTAGCATGTCTCGGCACGCTCGCGCCTGAACGTAAGCACGACCTGGCGGGATTGGCGGTGCGTGCTCTGATCGGAGGCATCATCGCCTGTTGTATGACAGCATGTGTTGCAGGTAAACGCACTATCGACACTTGGCTTGTTGCACGAATCCGTGTGTTGGTCGTAAACTAACAATATTTATAATAATATTATGTACATATTAATATGCAAAAACACATAATAACCACTTGCCACCTCAATGCCAAAGCAAATTCTCTGCCACTTGCTTTAGTTTTGTTAATGTAGGCGACGAACGGGTGACATATTGGCGGCGTTCATTATTTTGAGCGGTGCATTATTAAAATTTACGAGCCAGCCAGGATTCGAACCTGGAATCTTCTGATCCGTAGTCAGACGCGTTATCCGTTGCGCCACTGGCCCGCTGATTTCTAGAAACGAAATATTTTACGAATTATTAAACCAAAACAACTGCGGTTATAAATATGGTTTCGTTTTTGTGAAATGTATTTCTGTGCGGTACGTCAGCATCTCTGAAAAATACCGCGTTGGCGATGTAAACATGTATATAAATAATCTCGAGTTAGTTGGCGATAACTTTGCAGAACGTGTCAGCGGCTTTAACCTTAACATACAGCTGTATGGGCTGTTGGTAATGCTGTAAGCATAGATGATTTATTACTATTAATCTACAACTCTCTTTGAACGAAGCAGAACCATGTTTGAGAGAGTAGAATGAAAGATAAACACACACACAAACACACTCGAAAGGGGGGTTCAGAAATTTTAGCAGTCCTGAGATAGGGGGGTGCTTTCAAAGGGAGGGAACGAGCATATGCGTACCCTAAATAACACTGAGTGGGGGGGGCGGGGAACGTATATGGGCTGAGGTACAACCGTGCGCCGAAAGAAACGGCACACACATAGAGAGTTAATTCTAGGATGTGGAGAGCCAAAGAAATAACCGTATCGCCTAGACGGGGAAGAGAGGATAATCACCTACTTCAGCCGAAGTCTGGGACCCAAGCAGCAGCGATACTGTACGACTAACAAGGAATTGCTATAGCGGTTGTCTTGCCGGTTCGTCAGTTTAGGCATTAACTCTAAGGACAGCTCCTCGTGCGAAATATGCACAGTGGCCGAATATCCGAACATTTGAGGGTGTACAGGACCACTGAACGGACTCTACAAAGGTTCACGTGGCCAGGGATGCAAATTAGGCATCCGCCGATGGTACCAACGCTGCGAGGTTTGCGTGAACAGGCGTAGCGACTAATAAAGACAACAAGCGCCGTTAGCATCGCGTGTGTGCGCCCACGGAGCAGCATGAACATTAAATTGACGTTGTTGGCTCCTATCACCGACGCAGTGCAGCAATCAGTAAATACTGGTAGCCAGCGATTATTTCATTAAGTGGATGGCAGCGTACAGAGCAGTACCCTAGACTACAGCTGCGGAATGCCTTGTGATGGAGTGTCACAAATTCTACCACACTCTGACCAATGCCGGCAATTCGAATCTCGGTTATTCGCCAGAATGTACCGCCTACTAGGAATCGAGAAGACGTGGACCGTGCCCTACTATCAACAGTCAGACGGGTCGGTGGAACGTTTCAACCAAACAGTGTGGGATATGTTGGTCAAGTTGGGTTTTGATTGTGGGGACGATTGGGACTACCATTTCCACTGCATGATGGCTGGGTATCGTGGAGCCGCAGAAGAGAGCATGCTCGGTGTTTTGCTCGGGTGTGTGCGCTAGGCTTAAAGCATAAAGCACAACGTACACACCCGAGCGAAACACGAAATTTTGTTTTCCAGCGTTTCGCGTTCTGCTCGGCGAGCAAGCGCACACACGCCACCCGACACAGCACACAGCTGAGCGAAACATACAGAAACACTGCGTACAGCGCCGCTGTCACATGATATCAAAAATAGCCATCCAATGGACATCCAATTGTGTGTGTCATGTGATATTTTTAAGGATATTGATTGGAGACCGTCTGTGGCGTTTCGCTGTGTAGCAGAACAATTGACGCACACACCCGAGCAAAACGTACGCTCATGCGAAAACACGCTCCGCGAATCAAACATTGCTTGTTCAGCGAAACACGCTCAGCTGAGCAATGTTTTTTGTTTCGGGAATCCGCACACAGCCACGAACATCGAGCGAAACATGTTTTGCTTCACGTTCCGGTGTTTTGCTCGGGTGTGTGCGTTGGGCTTAAAGGCATAATAGGCCCATTGATTATACAAAGTTGACGAATGCTACAGTAACTGGCACCTTCTGTAGATAATAAGTACATTACCTTATAGTCAAACGCGTATTAGTTTGTCCAATATCACTGCTAATTACTAAGAAATGTCTAATTGAAATCCGTAAATCTGGTAATCTGGCGCCAACGCTAAATTGGTTGCCAACCAAATAAGCCTCGAATTCGGTTCGGGATGCTTATATACGACTAATGAGCTAGTAGAATCAGGAGAATGTATCTCTGGGTGTATTCTCGGTATTGAGGCACAAGTAAATAATCGTGGGTGCTAATGAACGGGTACCCACATGTCTTCAATTTCAGACACAGGTGTATTCGTTTGACCAATATACGTAAATACGCGTAGTGCCGTCTGCTTTCCATGTTTAGTCTGTGGCCGTGGTTAGTCCGCGATCCTCCTATAGCGTTGGCCCCCAACACAGCCTACTTCATTATCACGAGCGTCCGTGATTCGTACGTGGATTCCACGTTCATTACAATCAGAGCTACTGTTATAGTTAAGCGGATAGGTGACAAATATTGACAAAGATGTTCACTTCCGGAAGAAAGCATGAAAATTGGTCTATGGGGGTTTTTGAGTATGCTGAATCCGAATTTAATGGGAACCACGTTGTCAGAACAAGGTTTCCTACTCAAAAAGGGTGTTGAACATGGGTGGGGTCAAATATCATATTTTTACCGCTGGTAGAGTAAACATATTTTGTGAGTGTTTGTATCTAGTGTCTGTCCTATATATTACATCTATATATGGTTAGTAACAGTAGCACAGCTTATATACAATAGCCATTGCCTAAAAAGTGTTTATTGTTTTCGTTTTATTGCCATCTGTCGTCGTATGTCGATGTACTGATTTCGTGGACTGCGGATTTCAATTAGACATTTCTTAGTAACCAGCAGTGATATTGGACAAACTAATACGCGTTTGGCTATAAGGTAATGTACTTATTAACTACACAAGGTGCCAGTTACTCTAGCATTCGTTAAAATTGCATAATCGATGGGCCTATTATGCCTTTAAGACGCCACAGACGGTCTCCAATCAATATCCTTAAAAATATCACATGACACACAAAATTGGATGTCCATTGGATGGCTATTTTTGATGCCATGTGACAGCGGCGCTGTACGCAGTGTTTCTGTATGTTTTGCTCAGCTGTGCGCGCTTGCTCGCCGAGCAGGCGAACAGGACGTCCCGGCCTCCCTATTTATCCAATCGGGTCTCACCACCTCAGCCCTACTATTGGGGGGGGGGGGGTAGTGAGCAGACGCAAATCAGCAGAAAGTTCTTACCGACCTTTACAGATTCGATGAACTATACACAGTGCTACAAGATACGAAGTCAATAGCGTAGGTTGGAAGGAGGCGGTAAAAACGATTCCGTTACAAATGTATCTAATCAAAGTATACGTAGTGGTCTATATGCAAGCATTTTGGGCATAAAAAGCAGCCTTGTTCGAACCTTATGTTACAATGTTGACAGCAGAAAAGCGTAGCACGCTCAGGCGCTAAGAGATATTTATATAGCGTCACCTGAGTGACACGACTGCCTGACTTGGTAATATCAAGAGCCAATAATACCAGTCCTACCATACCATAATACCATACAATAATAATACATAAATAATACATAATAATAAATAATAAATAATAATTAATACATAATAATACATAATACCATACAATAATACCAGTAGCTGTTATTAGCTCTTGAAAATATATCTGTACGTCGTTATAGCTAGGTCATAAAAAATTGTATGTAAACAAGCCCAAATTCGTATCATAATGAAAATATTTATTAACGGAAGTAACTTTGATTAAGAGATTGTTATTTTCTAAATGCTACTTTACTGTGCGGGCTTTTAAAAGGCTTTATCAGGTTGTTGCACAATGTAATAAGAAACTAATATCAAAGATCAGCGAGCGTGCGCTAATCTGAACCCTCGTGGCGGTGTTACTTAGCCGTCTGCGAACGCGTACAAGCAATTTTTTTAAGTTGACGGGTTGTTTACATTTTTCGAACTATATTCTTGTTTGCGCTAAACGTAGCGTTCTGTGGCATTTTTATGGAGCAATCAAGATATGATAGCGTGTATACGAACATTTATAAAAAAAACATTTCATCGGGGGAATGCCGTTTTAAAACTATTCGGATGCATGACGATTGATGTAGCTATTTATTGCTATAGATCTATAATGAGGTTCCTATGTTGCGTGAACGCTGTAGATGTGGCTGCACAGTTATATGCGTATTGTTATACCTATATACGTACATTTGAATAACGATTAGTAATAGAACAAGATCCAGATCCGTGACACAAATAGCTACATTTCTTCTAAGCAACTAGAATTATTGAATTAACCAAAAAACTACGTAATTAGTACAGCTACGTACACGTCATACCGTAGCGCTATGAATTCTAGAAGTGGTGGTGGCCTTTACGAAGAGACGGGCATAGATTAGTCACGACAGTTGCAGGGAGCATATCGAAGCTGTAACGTAGTTTCTTCGCGCTGTATTTTTCCACAGATAAGTGCGAGTCATCTGCTGTCGGCGTCAGTGATGTCAGCCCCAGCAGCTCTCGCCGTATCGAAGCTGCTCTGCCCGGAGACAAAGCGATCGAAAACCAAAACAATAGCGGACGTACAAATCCCCAGGCCGTGAGAGTTAGCACACGAAATTTGAATCCCGTGAATGTAGGCTAGCTTCGCGATCCTATATCACCCTCTCTCTTTCTCTAGCTCCTCGTGTTTGTCAATCTGTCTATCTGTTTGTCGGCCTCCGCCTCCGCCTCACACCTCATCTACAGTTGTACTAATTAAAAGCGGTATACGGCGGCACAGCTGCTGCGGCTGCCGACGGTTTTTGTGAGTATGCATCGATTTCACTGCTGAAGGCTGCACATGTAGAACTAATTAAAAATTTTTGCACATAGCCTATATTGCAACAAACAAATTTTTGCGGAATACAAATAGGCCTACAAAATTCAAAGATCATCGATATATAAGCGTTGTGGCAATATGATCATTGCAACAATCAATAATCAGTAATCAACGGCGCATGTAACTCTTTTGCAGGCGGGATCGGAATATTGTCGAGGCGGCGTCAAACGGTGCATCACAGTCCACGAAGATCGTAGCAAGCATCGCTGTCAATCTCTTAGCGTTTCTCTCCATTCTGAAGATGATCAATGCCATTCTGGCCTGGCTCGGTGGTATGGTTGGCCACCCAACACTATCCTTCGAAGTATATGCATGAACCCGCTTTCATTTTTACCGCATGCATTCGGCTGTGTATGTTCTGACGTGGTGTGAATTTATTGCAAATATAGCCATCTAGTCAGGTCTGGCTTCATAAGTCACCGTGAATCACGGACAGTCAATAACTTCCGGAAGCTGCCTATATGGCATTAGAGAGTAATGTCGCATGGAATCGCTCCCCGATCATGAAAGCAAATTAGTTAAAGCTGCACAAACATTGACTAATTACATGATAATATCATAATATGCTTACCTAATTTGTACCCGTCTTACACGATGTTTTACTTTTACTTTTCGTGTGCGTATAAATACGGCCAGAGAGATAGAGCAGTTTCGTTTGCGTTCACAGTTGATCTGTTCGTACGTGTTCGTACCTGTCACGGTCATAATGGGTGTGGAGACAGACGATCAGATGCTGGTAGCCGAACTGCTCGGTATCAAGACATTTCTCAACGACTTCATCGCGTTTCAGAAATTAGCGGACTACATAAAAGCGGGAACGCTACAGGTAGCTATATGTAACAAAGATGCATACATCTGCCGTAGTCTTCAGTTAACATCTCATGCGGTATCGCAATCACGAAATATTATCTTGTGTTTAGAATTTTTTACTTAAACGTGCCCCTAAACGATCGAATCACAACGATCAAAAACGTGATAAAATGCCATCAAGAAAGATGAATAAACGTCGCGTTGCCCAGATTCAGTGTGTTCACGACGCCCTGCGTGCATGAATTTGCGTGTATCAATCATTTACAAACATAATTATGGAAGGCCATTACCGCCAAAACCTATTATTATTATTATTATTATTATTATTATTATTATGCGTGTGCGTGTGTCAGCTCTATATAGACGTTATGCTATCTGTTTTATTGTAATATTAATAATCACAATTATAACCATACTGATATAATCACTGTCAGTGCTGTGACTATACTTTACATTGTAAGCGGGTGTCGTTTACTTACAAGAAGTGTGTAGAAATGTTAACACTTATAATCAAAGAACAAGAGAGTGAGACAGTGCCACAAAGAATAAGATTT